TTCGTCTTTTATGTAGTGATGACTCTGATTTCCACCACAAATCAGAGTCAATGTGCCAGTTTTTCAATAAACGTGGTTACCCTGATTCTGTCGTTCAAGCGGGTTACCACCGCGCCCAACTTATTGATGGACATTCAGCACTACAAGCGTCACAAAAGAACGATTACGACCGCATTCCATTCACTCTCACGTTTCACCCTCACAAGCACTCAGTTAAATCCATCATTCTTAAAGACTTTAAATTACTTCTACACGATCCAGAGACAAGGACTATCTTTTCGCAGCCTCCGCTCATTTCATTCAAACGCGACAAAAACATAGGCAATTTTTTGGTCAAAAGTTCTCTTCAGACTAATGGCCGACCAGGCACTTTTAAATGCGCTCGTGCGCGATGCAAAACGTGTCCTTTCATTCAAAACACTGAGGAAATATCGGGACCCAAACGATCCATTAAGATCACCGATCACTTCACGTGCACCTCCGCCAATGTAATCTATTGCAGAGCTTGCACTTATTGGAAAAGGATTTACATCGGCGAAAGAGACAGAAGACTAGGTGACCGATTCCGAGGACACCTTGGCGACGTGCAGAGGAAAGAGAAGGACACATCGAAACCAGTCGCTAGACATTTTAATTTAACTAATCATTCAAGGGAACATATGGCAATCAGCGGTCTTTCCTTACACTTAGGTAATACGGAAAGCCGTGAAACTCTTGAGCAAAAGCTCATATTTCAAACCGGCAGTCTAAATCCCACAGGTATCAACGAACGCTTTTCATTCCACTAATTTATTTGTGTTTTTCTCGTTGCCATGTTCTCACCAATAATGTAGCTCCATTTTCTGCCTTTAAAAGCACACAAACCCACAATTCCTCTATTCGCTTCGACGAAGGGCTAACGCTCGAAACTTCAGCTTTTATAATCGTAACGCTGGCCAATTTGCTATTTCAACTTTGTTGATATATTCAAATTACTTCGTTATCCCCATCGACCAACCCCTAACAGTTTCTTTAGAAACTATCAGCCTTTATTATCCAACTACACCTAGACGAGTACAAATAGCGCCATAGACGAGTACAAATATCACGCGGTATTTGTACTCGTCTATTCATCTCAT